TCGGGAGTATCCCAAAACAACGAAGCCTAACTCCTCAACCCTCAACCGCCGGTAATTGTCAGCTTGCTGGTTGACATGCGTTTCCTCAAACCGAAGCGGTGGTTCGAGTCTGCATGGCCCTAAACCCACAAAGCCGCCAAAGCCTCAAATCCCAAGGACCTAAACCCGTCCTGAACCCGAAACCCCAAAACCCCAAAACCCAACACCCCAAAACCCTGCGATGTATTTCCTGGTGCTTCGGAGCCTTCGGCAAGCTTCAGCACCCGCAGTTGCAGGGTTGTTGAAGGATATTTTGGGGTTTAGAGGTTAAGGGTTTGGGGGTTGAGGGTTTGGGTTTAAGATTTAGAGGCCCAGGTGTAAAGGGGTTTAGGGGGTTGTCTTGGTTGTTCGGACGTTTAAATGTGGTGTCGGAGCCGCTGCGATACCAAGGGGTTGAGGATTCTTAAGGACATAGCTTCATGGGAGACCCTCCCCCTAACCCCTAAGCTCATAAACCTCTTGAGCTGGGGTGCCCCAAACAAATGGAGGGGCACCACTCCATGCAACAGCAGCCTCATTCTAGGAACCAGGGCACAGGCCATCGCCCAGGGCTGCCTAGACCCTAAACCTAAACCCCAAACCCTCAACCCTGTCAACCGCAGAAATCCCACCAAGAGCCAGCCGGCCGGAAAACTTTGAGCTCAACCCGACATCCGACATCCAAAACCCTAAACGCCCCTAGACACGAAGCTTGAATTTCTCCCACCGAGTGAAGCCCCTTAAGAAAGGGGGTGATGACGAAGCCGAGCTCCAGACCCGGCTACTTGATGGCTTCTTGCAAGCTCTGTTTTTTTGTGCATGCGCTCTTAAGGGTTTGGATGTCTTGTAAGGGTCTGTGTGGGAGTTCTCCTCGGGTTTTCGAGAAGGGCTGTCTCAGGAAGGGTTAGAAGTGCTGCATGGAAGGGTTCGGGGGGGTTCTTTCTTAGAAGGTTCCAGGATGTTTTGCGAAAAGGGTCTCGTTCCAATGTCCGGGAGTCTCTAGCCACTCTGTTGGCATGGGTTTGCAACACTGGGACCGTGCGAAACTGCAATGTGTGGCGGGTCTGGGAGCCCAAACGCAATGCAGGTCAAGGCAGGAAGAGGGTAGGCACATTGGGGGGAGAGGACCTATGCCCTTTTACATGTATATGCACAGATGTACACACACACACACACACTCACGCTCACATGCTTGTCTATATGCCATACGAGACTATGATATATTATGTTATGTTATGTTTTACCATGGTACCATATTCTTGACAATACTCTGTTGTTCTGTCTTATGCCATAGCACATGGCATTGTGTTGTTGTGCTGCAATATAAAACTTTCTATCATACCTTTTCTTTATCATGTTACATGTCTTTATGTCATACTGTGTTATGTTATGATGTGCTGCCGCGTGCGGGCGTCGGAGAGGGTTGGACATACATGATATCATTTCATGTCATCTTATATTATACCATGTTTTGTCAATATGATATTGTGTCATATCATGCCATATGATACCCTACCTCGTCATATTACATTGTATTCTGTTGTACTATACTATACTATACTATACTATACTATACTATACTATACCATACTATACTGTACTCTGCCATACTTTACTGTACCATACCAGGCCATATCATACCTTGCTATACTAGGCTACACTACACAGACACGTTTCTGTACTGAACGTCACTACACTACACTATATTTTACTGTACTGTACTATGCTATACTATACTATGCTGTACTGTACTCGGCTATATTATACTTATATGTCTATATATATATATGTATACAGATAGCAAAGACAAAAATTCAAGATATCAAGATAGGTAGGAGCATACATATCAACGGCATGTACGTGCGCATGTAGATGTGAGGCTTGAGAGGATTTAGCGCTTTGGAGGGGCTGGGGTTTCGGGTGTCTTGCTCCATTGATTCATGGCCTGACCGTGCTCTGGATTCGTGCTCTGGGCTGACATTGTGTTTGCACATGGAGTTCCGAAATTGTTCTTCATGGTCTGGTTTGGTGCCCGGCTTAGCCTACTTCAATGTCCATGGCATTTTCGGACCCAGTACCTTGGCTTCAAAAAATGTCTCGGCTGAACCTTCGATTCTGAAGCCCAAAGCTTAAATTTACTGGAACGTGCCTTCACACATCTTAACCCCCTGCTTAGTGACTCGCTCGGCAATGGAGGCACAAGGAAACCCAAAGCTCCCCACCCGGAAGTCCCTCAGTCAGAGGCTCGAGACCGCCCGCCGCGAGATGCAGGACTCCGTTGAACCCCTAGCCCTGTTGAGTCGAAACCCTCCATGCTCTAAACTGCCCCCAAACTGTCGGATGGACCTTGCTTTTGTTTTCATGTGTGTTGCAACGGGCTTTGTTGCGTCGAGCTCTGGTTGAAGACCAGGAACGCGGGACCCCGGCAGCTCCCTTAGGCATCCGATCCCACCCCAGTGGCCCAGAAGGTTCAATAAGTTTAGGCCAAGTTCCCTTAGACGTCAGGGGGTGGGGTGAACGTGTGGGGTGGCCTTCACGGACAGCGAGGCACCCGACGCCTCTTTGTTGTGGAACTCGCGCTGCCAGAGCAATGTCGCAGCATACCCTGACCCGACAACCTAGACCGAGGCCTCTAAGCCGGAAATAGGTAGTATTCCAAACCCTAAACCCCAAACCCTTGAACTTCAAAACGTCAGAAAAAGTAGGACGAAAAGCAACATTAAAAAAGGAGTATGGCTCCTTCCAGTGGGATTCCACGATCCTCTCCGTGGACGGCGATGTCGACGGCGCGGTGCGCGAGCTGCTTCGAGTGGCTACGAAGCTGGCCTGGCCCTTGGCATTTTGGGAGAATAACAAGAAAAGAGCATCAAAGGACCCATCGCCGCAAGTCATGGTGATCATGATACCGACACGGTATAGCAATGGTGGCAGCAGTATTTTGTCTCGCATGCTGCAACAGTTTGGAGTGAAGAAACGCTAAGATGCGAATGTGCCTGCAGCAGGCTCTTGTGGTGGCGGTTTCTGTAAGAGGGCCTGACCCAGAGCATGGCCAGACAGGAAAAGCACATGACATGCTCTAGCAATACATGGTAACCGAAATTGCCCGAAGCAGTATAAGAGTAGCAGCAGCAGTAATGCAAAAATGGAATGTTTGGTTCTGGTAACATCCACACAGCGGAGGGGTGTCTTTCTGTTTGGATTTTGTGCCTGTGGGCATTGTGTTCTTCGGCTTTGTTGGGGTGGGGCTCTCGCCTTCCTGGTTTCCTGGCTTGGCAGCTTCCTGGGATTCTTGACTTCTTTTCCTGGCTTCTCGGCTTGCTGGCTGATCGGCTTCTTGGCTTTTCGGCTTCTTGGCTTCTCGTTTTTGTCTTTCGATTCCGCGGCTTCCTGCATTCTTGGCTTGTCCTTTGGCTTTCCTTTATTTGGTTTCTTGGCTTCGTGGCTCGCTGGCTTCGCGGCTTCTCGGCTTCTTGGCTTCGTGGCTGGCGGACTTCGTGGCTGGCTGTCTTCGTGCAATCCTAGATGGGTTTCTTCTTCGCTTGTGTATGCTCCCTTCATTGAATATCGCTGTTGCTGTTATTGTCATTGTTTCTGCTAGTTCCACTGCTACTACTAGTGACAAGTGCTGTTGTCACCTTTAGAAATGGTATTATTCAGTACTGCTCCGCTCTTATGGCTGCTCCTACTCGCACTCCCACTCCCACTCCCATTCCTACTGTTTCTATTACGATTTTTAATTGCTACTAAGGACGACAACGACTACTACAAAAACACTACTACTACTACTACTACTACTACTACGACGACGACGACGACGACGACGACGACTCCTTATGTGAGCTCATGTGTTTTTTTCACGGTTATACACGCTCTTTTCTTATCCTCATGTGTGTGTGTATATATATATACTGATATATATATATATATATACATGCATGTATGTGTTCATATGTCTTGAAACTGATTGATCTTCCATGTGCACTATATATATATATGTACATATACGCATACAATATATGCATGCTATTTACATGCTACACATATATACTACACACGTTTATCTGTATTATCAATATGGGTAGGTATATCTATTTGTTAATTTGCACGATGTATGCACTATATGGTGGTTGTTTACACTGTCACATACATATATACGCATACACAACAGAGACACTATGATCTGTGTATGTGTATACACTGAACCCTAGTATGTGTGCAGAACCACAGCAGTACAACAAGTGGTGGAGTACATGCTCGCGCACGGGCAATGAGAGCAGTCTCGATGCATGCCGAGTTTGTATGTTCAATCCACCCGTGAGGCCAATTCAGTTCAATAGGCCTATTGATTTCAATAGGGTCTGTCGGATTGAAGATTGAAGATCTCACAGAAAACCTTTGCAGGGCATCTTCAACCTTCAATCCGACAGCCCTCTTGAATTCAAAAGGCGTATTGAATTCAATTGGCCTCATGGGTGGATTGAACTTGAAAACTCGGTATGTCTCGTGATTGATCTCATTGCCCTGAACACATGCGCAAGCATGTACTCCAGCATCTGTTATGTTGTTGTAGTTCTGCACTAAGGTTTTCTCGAATATGGGATACCCACGTAAGGCTGTGAGGTATTAGAAATCAATACCACTGGAAAGTACGTTTTTTAGGGAAATGCGTAATACACGGTCACATACGAGAGAAGCCGGCAAAACTTAGCGCAAGGTGTTTGAGTACAGTAATATTTTTTGGGCTACGGGAAATACAGGGCTTCTGCGCCTAACTAATATATGTACCGTTATTTCTCAACCATGTAGCAACAGCCGCAGCAACGACGACATCAAGACTGCAATAATATTGCATAGTTGACTACGTATACACAAGCACGATCTTGTGCATGTGAGTCAGATACAAATGGATATCAAGTATCAAGTACACAGTGTGGTACAGTGTCGCCACTTACACAGACCAATGCTTTAAAGGCTTTTGTACCATGGGTCCCCATAGTAATCTCGTGTGTTGCCGCCTCGACGTGGAATGGGCACAGCGTTGCCACCAGCACAAAGAGCGGGAGAAGGAAGCGGTAATGGAGCTCGAAAGTCTTGAACCCCTGACGTCCATCCTTGTCGGCGAGGACAACTTCACAACCGACAACGCCTTGCACAAGATGACAACAGCAAAGTTTCAGGAACTTGCTGCAAAGCTCGGGCAGGAAGCTTTAGACAAGATGTATGACGACTGGGTAACGAATCTGAATGGGTTGACACCGGCTTCGTTTATGCAGATCGTGGCCGCCTTGGCTGTGGAGCAGGGTCAGCAAAGTCTGAATATGTTCATGGAGAGTTTGAGCATGGATCTTAGCCTATTCGGAGCCAATCGTCGTGTGCGGAACCTCCCAAAAGCCGCAAGACTGGGGGTTGGCTCGCCACTGGAAGAATGGGATCGGTCGAAGCCTTGGGATTGGCTAGGCAACAGTCTTGGCAGCTTCCGCGTCCTCTTCTCGCAAGGCAAGCAGATGCATTTGCGCAAATTGACTAAAGATCTCGGAGGTCATGCAACGTCCGGCAGCTGCGGGCCTGTCGTCTGGGATGCCGGCCAGGGCCTTTCCCGGATAAGCTACAGTATCACCCCGGCAGTGCAGCTCTTAAGGCCCAGTGACCGCGAGCTGAGCCTGATGCTCAAGGTGCTCGTTGACGCCGGGCGAGAGAGCCGGTGCTTCACAACCGTTGTCTCCAAGGCTCTTCTCGATGAGGCACTGAGAAGGACTTCACTGGCACGGGCTGTAGATTGGTTGGTAGACATGTTGTACCTTGTCATCCTGCTGTTATTGGCCATTGCCGTCAACACCCGCCACAAGCCCGCCAAGTCAGTGCAAGTGTGCTTCTTCTGCGTCAGCCTGTGGGTTGCCTTCTCACTCTTGTGTAAACTCTACGGTGGGCTTCGGCTATTCTGGTCCCAATGCTGGCCCTGCAGGGGTTTTCTTGCTGGCGTGGTTAAGCATGCGACGCTCTGGAACTTGGTCATGTCCTCGTCCGAGGTGTTCTCCACCTACTTCGCGTTTCGCTTCTGCATCTACGTGGTCTACGATGTGGGTGAGGGTGCCGAGGTTCCCCAGTAGTAGCCTTTTGCACTTTTTCTTTCGGGTTCATTATCAAAATTTACAGCAAAGAGTAGCAAAAAAGGATACGCTTTGATTAAAGGGCTGCTGGGGAGCCTAGGTGCCTGGACACTTTTCCGCAAGCATCCCGGTTTCCTCTCCTTCCTGGTTTTGGTCCGGTGGACGCAGCTGGGCATCGGCCTACTGCAGGTCGTGCGACTGCAGTTTAGGGTTTAGGTTCGGGTTCAAGAGGTCTTAGGGCTTAGGGTTTAGGGTTCAGGGTCTAGGGTTGAAATTAGGATTTAGGGTTCAGGGGGTTTAGGGGTTTGGGGGTTATAGGGTTTATAGGGATTAGGGCATCGGCCCTGCTGCAGGTCGAGCTTCTGGGCCGCTATGTCGTGCCGGTGGTTCACGCCATTTCGAGGCCCGAGTCGCTATCCTTCTTGTTTTTTCTCTTCATCATCGTGCTTGGCTCCTTTCATGCCTACTACGTCTTCCCTATCACGGAGAACACCGGCAGCTTAACGCATGTCCTGAACACTTTCTTGAAGATCTTCCGGCTGGAAATTCTTGGGGATTTCAGCCTCAGCGAGTTAGAGGGTCTCGGTGACCAGCTTCATGGATCTTTCTCTTCGAACCAGACTTTTCATGGTGAGATGGCCGAAGAAGCTTACGACAAGGACTTCCACAGGAGCTTGCGTGCCGAGTTCGTCGCATTGAGCCTCGCAGTGAACGTTGTGTTCCTGAACGTCTACATCGGCCTGCTGGGCGAAATCTACAGCAAGTCGGTGGAGCGGAAGACCCAGTTGTACCATCATTACTTGGCATCCTACGCATACCGAAACCTCTCTCGGGCGCCGTGGCGCCCGGTCCAACCATGTAAGCAGGCAAGCGGCAACGAGCTTAGCAACGACGCCGAAATCGTTTGGGTGGCCAACTTGGTCGAGGAACCGGAGGAAAAGCCAGGCTCCTGACCCGAAGTTTCCAAGCTAATTTTCTGGAACGCGGAGCCGTTCCTGAACAGCCCTAAGTTCTCGACTTTCATGGTTAGATTAAGGAAGTCTTTGGTTTCTTGGCTGTTGCCGGAAGTGCCCACATGCCTGGCTTAGGGCTCTTAATCCCTAAGCCATGTGTGTCACCGGCTGCAAAGCACAGCTGGGCTTAGGTTTCCGTTTCAGCTGAGCTTTTCTTCGGTGAGTTTTCATCCAGCGTCTTGGGACTTGGGGAGCCAGGGTTGTCGTGTCAGAACAGGAACGTTTTTGGGTTGGCTTAAGGCGGGTTTTGGTTGGGTGATGTTATACCTGGGGCTACATACACACATACATACGTACCTACCTACCTACCTACCTACCTGCCTGCCTGCCTGCCTGCCTGCCTCCATACATACATACATACATACATACATACATACATATATATATATATACACAAATACATACATATACACACATATATATATACATATATATATATATACATACATACATATATATATATATATATGTATATAAATATGCAGACACACACACACACATATATATATATACATATATATATATATCTATATATATATATATGTATAACTTCTTTTTTGAGCGTTAAGGCTCCTTTGGTCCTAGAGTTGATTTGGCCATAGAAGCCTTTTAGAGATTCCTAGGACCCTAAGTAACATCACCGTTGGACGACTGTTGAGGCCAGCCTTGCCTCGACTAGAAACCATCCACATCTTCCGGACATTCCATTACGAAAGGGTCCTTACTTGTATCACTCTGATATCATACTCCTTACAACGTCACCGGAGTTCCTGAGCAGAGAATGTGTTGTTTAGCAGGGAATCCAAAAGTTTTCCCGAGAATGGTTAGCCAGCCGTTCCGCCAAGAGTCATAACTGGGTTCTGCCGGACTCGGGAGGATGAATCCATCACCGTCGAAATTCAAGGATCCGACCCGGATCCTACTCGCAGGTGAGTTAGTTTGGCCGGTGACTCGGCAGAGTTGAGGGCTCTTCAAAATGTGGCTCACAGCCATAGGCTGTGGCACTGCATGGCTGGTCGATGGACCTCGACACTGCCGTCACCTGGGCCCTGGGGAGCGCCCCCATGTACTCCAGCTTCTCTCTCTCTCTGAGTCCAGTAGGTATGTGGGCATGATTGAAGCCCTAAAGAAGGCCCTAAAACCCTAAGCCCCCATTCTGGTCTAAGAGAGAAGCAGGGAGCAGGGACGACGAGCCTCACAAACAAGCGTGTGACAAACCAAGCTCTGTGCTCATGCTCGCTCAGGGCTCATGCTTCATAAAGGGGTCGGAATGGTCACTAATCGCATTCCCTTATAGTCCCCACTATAGCTACAGTCACTAATCGCATTCCCTTATAGTCCCCACTGTAGCTAAAGTATATAATCCACCAAATCCCTGTTCTAATTATTAAGGCTTCTATAGCCTACTTGCGCACGAAGAGGCTTGAACTTCCATTGCTCATTCCTGACCCTGAAGCCCTAATCGTTTCTGTAAGCCCTTCAACTCCAAACTTTGTACACCGGGGAACCGAGGAAGAAAGCAAGCAAAATAAGCAAAAAGAAGCAAACGCAACAGAAAAACCCTAAGCCCCCAAACTTTGTATCTCTCTATTGCCTGTAGAGTCAGCTGAACCTGTGATATCGAGCTCCACAGCCCCGGAAAATGTTAGTGGCTAGCCGACTCCGTGTTGCACGAGGCAAGAACATCGACTGTACTTTGGCATGGGTTTCGCCTCCTACCGAACCAGCACCAAGAACCTCACCTGGCATGTCCGCGAGTCAGCGCCCAAACCCACCACTTTAACCGTCAACCCTCAACCCCAAAGTGTGTGAGTCGAAACCCAAAATCTTTAAGCCCTCAACCCTACACCCTACTAAAACCCTAAGCCCTCAACTCCAGCCCCCGAAGCCTGACGAGGTCGGCCAAAGCGAGGCTGCCTTAGCTGAGGACGACGAGCCAGTAGAGTCTCCAGATCCTGAGGTCAAGAGCCCAGGCGCCAGAGGGCATCGGTGGTTTGTCTCTTGTGCTTCTTATGAACTTCTTACGAGTCTGATGTACATCTCAAGCCCTCCTACTACGACTGCGACGACGACGACGACGACTACTACTACTACTACTGCTACTACTACTGCGACTGCTACTGCGACTGCTACTGCTACTTCTACCACTACTTCTTTTATTACTAGCACCACTACCACCACCAGCACCATTATGCTATTCGGGTTAAACCCATTGTTATTGTTCCTGTTCTTGTTTTTCTCATTATGGGTCTGAGGTAGGGTGTTTGGGTTGTAAGGCAAAAAGAGCTCCACTTCCTCTCCAACCAGCGGAATCCGAGAAAAGTGAACAGCTTCCCGTGGGATGCGAAGTTGTGGGTCTGTAAACTTGAGGCGCTGCTACGAGTCCGTCCCAAAGACATAATTCTAGTTTGTTGCATGGCCTTAAACTTAAGGGCGCTCCGGCTCCGCGTTCAATAACGCGGAGGTTTGACCATCCAAGGCTCCCCGACCGGAAGTCTTACATGGCCCTTGAGGCCATGAAGCCTAGAAGCTCAAAGACGATGCTTCTTTAATATGGAGGCTTTGAATGGTTAATAATGGTTAGTAAGTAGGCGTGCCGGTGCACTCCGAATCAGAATAACCTCTCCGTGTAGACCATCAGCACCTAGCTCCATGTGTTGAGGACTTTATTTGCCTGAGGATGAACAGGGTGTCGCAATACTAGCCTAGCCCTAAACCCTAAACCTAAACCCTAAACCCTGAAACCCTAAACCCTGAAACCCTAAACCGCAGCCCTGAAAGCTGACCCAAAGTCGCATCCAATCCCCAGAGCAGGTGCGCAGCCGAAGAGCGTCTTCGGGGAGTTTAGCGGCCTCGCCAGGACGGCGCAGAGGGCTTTGTTGCGTCTTTGGGGTTCCGGAGCGGCCCTGGGAAGTCTTCCCCCGTTTAAACTAGTATTAGTACTAGTACAAGTATTAGTATTAGTATGAGGTGTAAATGTTAGTATTAGTATTTGTGTTAATATTAGTATTAGTATTAGTACTAGTATTCGCATTAGTAATAGTATTGAAATGATGGCCTTCGCTTCAAGCATCGTGGGGATACCTTGGCTTGATGAGCCTTGCTGTCCTCTTCCTTGGCCTCTGCGCCCGAGTGATTGTGCATTCTGGCTACGACGATTGGGTTTTTGCTGTTTTCCGCTTCGCCGACTCGTGGATGTTGATTCTGCAGAGTCGGCCTCCTTACACTGTAGATTATATGCTACATACTGTACAAGGTATACGGTATAGTCTTGAAATGCGCAGACTTTAACCTGTATACATTTACATAATCTCTATCTTCTGTCCGATTGCTTTCTGCTGGCCCCTGCCTCCGTCCCTTCCCTTTGTAGCGCCTTTCTGCCTTTGTCGGCTCTCCTTTTCGGTGGCTCCCGAAGCCTCCTCTTCCTTCGACATTGGTTCAAGCAGGTTTCTGTCCAGGTTCTGGGGTTTCCTCCCCTTTGATTGTCCTCCCTCCCTGCAATACGACATGGTCCGTGCTCTTCCATGAAAACTTCCGCGAAAGGCGGAGGGGTTGGCAAAGCATGACACCCCAAGCCTTAAACCCTAAGCCCCAAACCCGAAATCCTAAACCCCGAGCCCCAAGCCGGCCATTTTTCCTCATTCCCCGTGCAAGAGTGGTTCTAACTGCAAGGGCTCAAAAGAGGGCTCCTATTTTTTTTGGCCCCCTCCATGTTTAAATTAACCCCCATTTCCCCCCTCCCCCCGGCCCTCGCCATTTCCTTTCAGCTCCCGGACCTATGCTGTTTGGCTAATTTGAACCAAAAAACAGGGGGGGGACACTAGCACATGGTTGGGGGCCAACAAAAAACACTTTTCCCAACTCCAAGCCTCGAGCCCCAAAGCTCCACCAGGACCTTTGGGGACGTCAACTTGGCGCTGGGGCAGCAAATCTTTAAACTCCACCGCTACACTACCCGGAATCCTCGGCCCAACCCTGATCCCAAGCGACACCACTCAGCTCGCCCTCGACAGCCGAAAGCCGAAACCCGGAGGATGCTCGGCGACTCCTGCGTGGACTTGGGCCAGGGCTTCCCCAACTACGATCCACCCGACTTTGTGGTGCAGGTTTCCGGGAGGGGGTGGAGGCTTGGGGCTTGCTGAGGGGTTTCAGGTTTAGGGTTGCAAGGGCTGTGGGGGTGGTGTTTCGGATTGGTGGTGCTTCCGAAACCAGTGAAGATGCAGGTAGGTCCAGGTAGGTGATGATCAACGGGTTTCCACCTGCGGATTCAGGGGATGTCGGGGTCCTTGAGCTCAAGATTTTCTGTTTGTGGAGTGGCATTGCACTTCCTGCTTGAAACCTTCTTGGCAGAAAAATCAGAATGCTAACGTTGACGCAGCTGCGGCTGATGGTTGTGGCGTTGCTTGTCTTGTCGCAGTGAGCCACCTGTTGCAAAGTTCGGGAGAAATGTTCCGTTTCCCGAGCGCATGAACTTGCTGGATATCTCGTGCGGGGTTGAGGCTTCCGGTGGCTTTTTGGGAGCCCAGGGTCTGAGGCCTCCACAATGCTTCACAACCACACACGAGGCTCTTCGCGACGAGCTGGATGGCACGGGCAAGGGCAAGGTCCGCACACGCCACCAGTACACCAGGCGCCTGGAACGGGGAACCTGTGTTTGGGGAGTCCGGGCTTTTGGGCCCCTTTTTAGGAAGATGTCTCTGTGCGTTAGGGTCGTTCCAAGAAAAGGCCTACATGCTGCTAGTAGCTGTTAGAGGCAGTAGGGGCATCTCCTTTCTCACCGGAGGTGCTGTTGACTTGGGCAGGAGTCACGATAGACAGTTGCAGCCCTTGCAGACCTCTTCGCAGCAGAGAGCCGGAGCAGTGGCCCTCAAAGCCTTTAATCCGCGTGCCTGAATTCGGCTCTGAATCTAAACCCAAGGGCTGTGAGGAACGGGTATGCCCCTTAACCCTAGCCTCGCCTGCATTGCTCGACCCAAGATCCGTGTCACTTGACTTGTCGAACCCAGAGCCAGGCTCGTTCCAAGTCCTAGCTCGAAGCCTAAAGCTCCGAGTTGCATTTGGTTGGCACGAGACCCGAAAACTAACTCACCCTCATCATCCCTGTAGTTTTGGGGCAGAAGCCGCTTGAACAAACAACCTCCAAGCGCCGCTAGGCTTCACGTAGAAATTCCGAATTGCGCACACTTCGATGGGCCCCTGGGTGCAGGACGGCAGGGCACGTGCCTCTGGTGGAGGCTTGGGGAGCCTGAGGTTTTTCAGGAAGGGGGCTGTGGGGTCACTGCTTTCTGGAGCTTCTTCAGCCTTACGGCCCCAAGCCGGTACGCGTATGAAGAGCAGTTCATCATGCTAGGCCAGAATTTGGAACAGCCCTGATGTGTTTTTGGGGCCAATTCGGATCGAGGGTGGGGGCAGGGTCTGAAATCCCGAAGCCCGAAACCCTGAACCTTAGCCTTAAACCCTAAACCCTATACCCGAAACCCCTATTCCCTAAACCCCAAACCCGAAACTCTAAACCCAGTCTTTTCACCTCTGATCTCGCGAACCGGCGGAAAGGAAGCCCCCAGCTCGAACCATCGAATACCACCTGCTTCAAGCAACTCAGAAACATGAAATGGTAATAACAATAACAAAAAATAGGAATGATAATAAAAATAACAATAACAACAACAATATTAATAATAGTAATAGTAATAGTAATAGTAATAGTAATAGTAATAGTAATAGTAATAGTAATAGTAATAGTAATAGTAATAGTAATAGTAATAGTAATAGTAATAATAATAATAACAGTATAAAGTGAATATGCTACATGCAACCGTGAACCCTAGAAGCCTAAAACAAGCTTAAGAGCCACAAGCCCTCCCAGCATACTGGCCTCACTAAGCCAAAAATCCTCAGCCCAAGCCGCAAAACCCCGAAGGTTGCACCGGAGGGTGCCAGTACACGTTCAAAAGACCCTTATGAAGCCGCAAAAAAAAACAGCTATGAACCTGTATAAAGTCAAGACCTTCTCAAAGCCCTGAGGCCTCTAAAACCCCCTAAGGCATTAGAGGAATCCTGAAAAATCTGGTCCTGGGTAGCTTAAGTGTTTGCTGGGACAGTGGCCGGATGTGGGATGTTGCAAGTACGCCAAAGAAGCCCCCCTTGTGAGCATAGTCCTCAGCCATGCGAGAGGGAGCAAAAAACCCTAAACCCTAAATCCCACCCCTAAACCCTAAACCCTAAACCTTAAACCCTGAACCTAAACCCTAAAGAAAAAAATCCCACCCCCAACAAATGCAGGTCTTGGCTGAGCGGTACAGCGGCCACCTCGGGCGGCCGCTGGATGCCCTCAAGGAGGTGGCTTTGGGTTCCATCAAGGGAGGGGGTCGGGAAAGAAGGGTACTCTTAAGGGTTTAGGGTTTAGGGTTATTGTCAAAATTTAAGGGGGCTCTGCACCATAGGGAGACTCGGGCAGCCGAACGATCCCTGCCCCGAAGGAAGCCCATTTTCCTTGTCGGAGCATTCTTGGAAGCGTTTCACCTCATCCGACTACGAAACCAACGACCGCGCCTGGCTTGTCCGAGTGTGAGCGCCGAAACCCTGACGGCCATGCGCACAGATTTTCGAGCCGCAGCCTTTAAAGCCACGACACACCTATGGCCCTAGACCGGGGCTCTCCGCAACTTCGGGATGTAGTCATATCTGGCGTTTGTATCCGGATCTGAAGCCCTGCATCTTAATCTGTCATGATGTGATATTCTTCAATATGATATGCTGTTATCCAATGTATAGCAGAATATAACTAGCCGACATGTAAATTCCTAGCCCAACTGGTCGCCGAGAGCTGGTAGGTCGCTGTGACGGTGGGTGCCACGAATGCTCTTTTTCTCGCGATGCAGGTGCGCAAGCGACCATGCAGGGTTTAGGGTATAGGGCACAGGGCTTAGGGTTTAGGGTATAGGGATGCGAGATAGTAGTGATTAGAGCCAGTGGCTTGGTTGGTGTGGGAACAGAAAGAGATGTTGTGTCTATGGTGATGACGGCTGAGATGGTGAGGTCATACTGGGCTCCAGTGCTCTGTCTGCATTTCCTTCCCCTGTGCTGTCCTTACCGTGGTTTCTGCTCTTCGTCTTCTTTGTCTTCCTCTTCTGGGTGCTCCATAAACCATGGAGGACAAGTCAATGTTGCTTTTGCGAGGGAAGTGTCCGATAGAACTTCTAAGCCACGCAGGGAGCGCTCTCAGGGGTTAAGATGGTGGCGCTCAGGGTTGACAGGATTTCACCAGGGCTGTTGAGCTTTAAGCACAAAGTCCGAAACCTAAAACCCAAAATCGCATGGCCTGGATTCTCCGAGCGTGGGCGTCGAAATCCCAAACCTTAAGCCCTAAACCAACAAAACCTCACAGCCCTTAAATGAAGCGAGAGCAACCTCCACGTCATCCTCGTTCTTGTAGAACTTGAAGGATTACATGGCTGTTTCCATAAAGGTATATAGAGCTCCTTACGAATATTGCGGGCGGAACATTGGGTGTTACAGTCCGGGTACTAGCAACAACACTGTAACCCAACACCCCAAAACCCCTCAACCCTTATTCCCCAAACCCGCAACCCTAATTCTGTATCAAACCCTAACCCTAAACCCTTTTGCAACCCCCCTAAACCCTAAACCCTAAACCCTAAACTAAACCCACCGAAAGCCACCGAAGTGGCGAGGCGGCCTTGTCGCGGTCTCCCGAAGCGAGAGAGCGCCTAGCCTCTCTTCAGGGCTGCCTTAGAGTGCTTACAGGGGCTTCGAGAGGGTTCTGCAAGACTCTACAAGGGCCTTATGCTGCAGGATTTGGTGGCTTTTGTTGCGCTCTCTTGGAATTAGGCATTCCTTTCTGTTCTGAAACCCGCCTTTCGACGATTCTCGGGTTTTTGATGCATCGGCTTGTCCCATGTCGTACGAGTGTACCGGATTTGGTGGGTATAGGGTTTCTGGATATGCGGCTGGTGGAGGTTTAGGGGTCAGGGTTCTTGAATGGGTTTGAGGTCTGAAATTGGTGTCTTGCCCGGTGGTTTGGCCCCTAAGCCTGCGTCGCAAGTTTAAGCTATCCTTTCGGACGCCAACGTAACCTGGCAGCCAGTACAGCCAGAAGCATGCAGAAGCGTTTGAAGTGTTTCTGCCGGCCCTGTACGAGCGCTTCGGGTTTGGTTTTCTGGCTTCAGTCTTCTATGCCAAGTCTCTCCTCTCTGCTTAGCCCTTCTCTTTGTCTTCGTTGGCTCTGAGCTGTCGTTTTTTAATCTCGAAAAGCCGGAAAACTATAGAGCCTCACACACGGAAGTTTTGGAGCGTTTACTGGGCCCTAGTCCATAGCCCTGAAATCATAGCAGCGCTTGCTGCCACTCGTGATTGATGGCAGCGGTAGTGGTGATAGTCCAGACAAGGATTCCTCGGCAGACATGCCAACCTCATCCCTGGCTCAAGTGGTTTTTATACTTTTTTGTCCACTGCGAGACAGAAAGGCGAATGCCGAAAGCCCGGCCTGCCACGGTGTGGGACATTTTGCCTTAAGCTCTCACATCCCTACATAGGCCCTGTAGCCTTGAAAGCCTCAACCCTAAACCCCGAACCCTCAGGACAAAATCTCCTGACCCCTACCAGCCTCGCGCTCCGAGGATCGTCGCCTTGGAGCCTTTCTTCGAGCTCTATCGGTCTCAGGCACCATGATAATATGCCAAAATAGCGTGGAAGAAAGGAGAAAGCAGTCGAACATAGTAGAATACAGCGTAGGATAGTAGAAAGCACCGAAACTACTCTAGTTCATAAGGCCCCATTCTTTTAGATGGATGTTACAGTATGATATGGTTATGGGTTTCCCAGTCTGCATGGCACCCACAAAGGCGTCCGTGTTTTGGACTCAGTTTACGGCTTTAGTGGTTTGATTTCCAGCTTCTTGAAAACTCGGGCAACACTCTGGCAGGGTTTCAAAGGGACCGCAGCCGGCAAACATTATGACAGCAATGTCTCACGGCGACTGGTGTCATTGCTGTTGCTACCAACCTACCAGCGCTGAGAAAGATGCTGCTATTACTGCAGCTGCTACTACGGTACCTTAAAAGTGCCCCGTCTCGGTGCTCAGTAACCTCTACAACCCTAAACCCCTAAGCCTTATACCCTGAACCCTATACCCCCCAAGCCTTATACCCTGAACCCTTAACCCCTAAGCCTTAAACCCTAAACCCTAAAGCCCTAAGCCCCAAAAACCCCAAACCCTAAACTCAAACCCCTGAACCCCACCGTCTCCCTGCGAGGCGCACGGCTTGGGAGCCGACTTCCGCAGCGTTCCGCTGCGCTTCGACGAGGCTCTGGGGGCCCTGGGTGGGGTTCCTGAGGCAACGTAGGGAGGGTGTTGGGAAACATGGGTTAGGGTTTAGGGTTTGGGTTTTAGGGGTTAGGGTTTTGGGAAATATATAGAAAAGTCTTTCTGTTTAAGTCTTGAGTTCTGCAGCAACCACAGCTTCTCACATCAGCTTACACACCTGTGTGTCACTTTGCGTGTAGCTCGATGATGCGTTTGGGAATCTGCGGGTCTGTGCGAGAAGGAGAGTATTCTGAAACTTCCGCGAGCTTGTAGGCTGTCACGAGGGCTTAAAAATGAAGTCATGTTATTCCCTGACATGTCCCTACATACGGTAGCAATCCTATGCCACAAAACCCTATTCGAACAGCTGAGGCTCTTTCTTAGGGTTTGAGGCCTAAGCCTCACACCCTAGAGACGCAGTTCAAGGGTCCTAGCAAGTTCGAAGTCGTGGAGAGGAAGTGCCACGCGTCCACAAACCAATCAAAGAAGCACGCATTTTTCGACGCGAGCAGAAGGGGACGCACAGAAAGCTGCCGAAGCACAAGCACGGGCAAAAAAGCGCAACAAGCGGTCCAGGCCAAGCACTCCTTCGAGCTGGATATCGAGGTGGGATACGCCTGGGGAGGGGAGTGAGGGTGAAGGGGACGCAGGCTCTTGGGTGTAGCCTTGAGCCCGTTTAAGAGGGGTTTTGTTGTTGTGATGATGGATGAATTGGTTCAGGGGTTGAATCTTGAAATCATAAGAGAAGGCCCGGTTTAAGGTAAGTAAGATAGCGGACTTGGTCGCCAAGCTTCGCAGAGGTGGCAGAACAACAAGGTCTTAGGTTTCAGGATTCGCAGAACCCTTCTATTTCAGAGTTCTTATGCCACTCGCGGCGCCAAGTTCTTAAGGTGAGCTGGACGAAATTAGAAAGCTCAAGCGGCCAGAGATCTACTTCAAAATGTGGGCTTCGTCAGCAGTAATTTCAGCCAGTTTCCAAGCTAACGGCCTGTCCTCAGGAGTCTCTACTTCATCCTAGACTGCATCCCGGCTACACCCGAACGAAACCCTGTCGTAGATGGGGCGAGAGTCCAGCAGCTACGAGTTCTCAGCCAAACGCCCCGGCCACTACCTGCTCGTAGTATAGCACTTCCACCAAACCCTGACAAAGCCCTTATAGGGCACCCCTTAGCAGTCCTAGTTCAGAACCTCCACAAAGCTCTGCCCTTATAAGGAAACCCTTAACAATCCTAGTCGAAACTCTGACAAAGCCCTTATAAAGAGCCCCTTAGCAGTCCCAGTTTAGAACCTTTACGAAGCTCTGACAGCCCTTATAGGGAACCCCTTAACAATCCTGGTATAGAACCCCTACAAATCTCTGACAAAGCCTTGATACTCTGACAAACTCCTTATAACGAGACCCTTAGTAGTCCTAGTATAGAACTCTACGATACTCTGACCCTTAGAACCTCCACAAAACTCTGACAAAGCCCTCATGAGGAAGCCCTTAGCGATCCTAGTATCTTCACACAGCTTTCAAAGGACCCCTTAACAAATCCCAATCGACAAGGCCCTGGCATCGTCGTTGGGCCCGCAGACAGCGGCCTTGATCGTCAACACGCCGCCTGGGGCCTGGCTGTTGCTGAGATGTGACTTTGGGGTTGCAGGGGCGTTACTACAGGGGTTGCTATGAGGGTGCTGCTACAAGGGTTTGGGCATGAGGGTTTTCGCGGTTTAGAGTATGGGCTTTGGGTTCAGGGTCCCAAGTACTTGGCAGGCACTTCAGAGAGACCTCGTTCGAAAAGGGTCACGATATTAGATGTTTTAGCCCAGTAAGAAGAGGGTATGCGTGCTGAGTTATGAGGGTTCAGGGTTTGGGTGTGAGCTCTCGGTTTTGAGGCTCTAAGGCTCTGACAGGCGCCTCCGTGCGCGGCTTGCTGCACCCTAGACCCTAAAACCCCATATCACCTAAATCCCCCTTGAATTCTATAACGCGAACCTCAAGCTCATGAACCCTATCCCCTCAATCCCACCCTAAACCCCCAAAATAAGGCTCGAGCCATTGAGCCCGCTTCCAGGCACAATCCCACCGGCAAGGCCTTCGACGAGTCCGAGATGGAGGCACCGGAAAGGTTCCAGGGCTTCAGAGCGTTTAGGGTTTAGGGGGTTTTGGGTTAAGGGCTTGGGTTTGAGAGCCTGTGGCTCCAATGAGGGGTGTAAGGGTTCCGCAGTCGTAGAGTAGGTGCTGTAACCCTTGACCGTTTTAGGGTCGGACAAGTAAGGTTCTGTAACCGGGTTGGGATGTAGGGTTAGTTTAAGGGGATCTTGATTGTGGGACAATTTGGGCGGGTTTCGAGCTTGCCATAGGTCATGCTGATTGGCTACCAGTCTTGTAGGGCCAAGTCTTCAGTGTGCTGGCTTCCGTGATCTCGAGCTCGTCTTTGCTTTCAGAGCGTGGATCTCGAGGAGTAATCGGAATGTGCCGGAACCCGCCGCAGTTTCACACCTTACCTCTTCCGGTACACGCTGGGGGCGGGGTAAACTGGTAAACCCTAAACCCAAACCCTAAGCTAATAAACCCAAAACACTAATGAGACTTGTTTTCGGACCCTGACGAGCGGTTCGGTGCTCCTGATCCAGTAGCCTTGAAACGAGTGTACACTGCTCGATGTGAGGGCACCGAAAACGCAGACTCGTTTTCCCTCAGCCCGAGGCCTTAATCCCTAAACCCTACACCCACAGATGTGGAGTCTGGCCTGCCTAGTGCGAGGGTGAGTCGAAGCCAAGTTGTCAAAAGAAGCCGAGTCGCGACAGTCCAGTGATTCACCCAAGCCCCTCAAAGCACCTTTTTGTGGTTTAGGGTTTAGCCTTGAAGGGACTTCGGATTCAGGATTTTACCGCCACTTCTCCGGGTAAAAAACGGGTTTAGCTTGTCAAAGCCTTCCTTGGACAAAGATGGTCCTAGGGCTCAGCAGACGCAGCCGGGCCGAGGATTTCCTTGCCTCATCGGCCTGCCACTCCAACCCGGCCAGGCCATCGCAGAACTGCTGCGCCAGCATCCCAACATCCTGGTGATCAGCGACGAGGCGGGTCCTATAAAGAAAAAACCACGTACCCTAAAACAAAAAGCCCTAAAACCCTAAACCCTTTGAAGGCCCTCAACGAACACTCCTCCAAACCTCCAGAAAATCGGGACTCGAGGACTGCGAAATGGCGAAGCCGGCCTAGTCTAAAAGAGCCCAAACCCGAAGCCCTAAACGCAGGAGACCCTGAATCTTAAACCCTATTGCCCGAAAACGTCGGCACCAATTTGCAAGCTGAGAGGTCTACAAGTACATGATCTTTGACCCGCCGTCAAGCGGGGTGGCGGAAGCTAAGGCACCATTGTGGGAGACAGGGCAAGACTCCTATGCACGGGATTCGTGACGTCTGTGTCCGTGCTTTGTTGAGGCTTTTGTAGATGTTTATCTAGGCTAAACTTGCATTAGTGCCCGTGTGCAGATGTCCTGCGTCCATACTGGTCCAACTGCAACACACCACGCCAAAACACTTTCCATTCTTTAAGGCCCATCGCAGAATCAACCATGCGTTTCTGTTGCATCGGTTTAGGTGTTGAAGGGTTTGCGGCACCGCCGTAGGGTTTCCTGGCTCGTAGGTATAGGATCGTCTGCGCTTTCTGTGTCAACCACGAGCCTGCAACGCCGCCCTCAACTCTTGAAAACCGCGAACAGCTCGTGATGTACTTTTGTCATGTCGGGTTACGGCTTTCGGGGCATGCGGCATCGTTTAAGGACCCAGGGATCCAGGGGCTCACTGAGAACGTGTTCAAAGCACCTTTGGGGCTTCTTGCAGCTCTTACACCCGATCAGGAATCGACCCCGAGCCCCGGGCTTTGCGGGTTTGGGGGTTATCGGTACCCTAAACCCTAAACCCTGACCCCGAAATCCGCCAAGCCTCGACCTCCAACTCGAAGTCCCGGACGATGGTTGCAGGACATGCCGGCAGGCCACATCCACTTCGCAAGGCTTCCGGACATGTGGGAAAGAACACTCACCGCGGCAGCCTTGGGGTGGCGATTTCGATCAGAGCATCACTATATGGGAGTTTCCGAAAGTAAGGGGCACCCTATTTTGGGGTGTCCTTGTAATAAGGATCCTACTATTTGGGGTGCTATATTAGGGTCCCCTATTTTCGGAAACCCCCATATGTTGCACTGTGGGGTAATCAAAACCTACATGCCCAAAAGGCTTTGAGATGGAACGTAACCCCAACACCCGAAAGTCCAAGCCCTGAACCCTAAACCCAAAAAAACACCCTAACACCCCTATAGATCCTCTTTAACTGGAACCCGATTATAGAACCCTACAGTACCCTGAAAGGAACCTTTATGGATTTGTCTGGAGCCCCCTGAGCCTCCAAGGTGAGCTCTGCGGGGAAGACCTTCGGCATCACGGGCTGGCAAATCGGTGGCTGGGATCGGATTCAGGGTTTAGGGTTTAGGGATTTAGGGGTTTAGGGCTTTAGGGGTTTGGGGTTTAGGGGTTTGGGGTTTAGGGATTTAGGGTTTAGGGGGTTAGGATTTAGGGTGGCTTAGGGTTTAGGGGTTTAGGCTAAGGGGTTTACGGTTTAGAAAGTCGTCTTTGTTTCCGCCTCGTTTCTTTGGGTAGAGATGCCTTTTACCTTGTGCGTCAGCATTGGTTTCTTCTTCGATTCTCAGTTTCATTTTTTAACGGGGCTTTCGTGGGGGTTGTGTATAGAGGTTTTTCGCCGGGATTCTCGGAGGGGCGGTTTACGAACCAGGGGCCTGCACCATTGAATCTGTTAGGCGCCGAAGCTTAAGCTCTAATTAAACCTTTGTGCAACCTGAAGCCCCGCGTCCGGGTATACCGAAGCCCAAATGGTGCCCGGGAAGAGACGATCCAGTTCCTACCCGAGGCAGTAAAGCCCAAAGAAGCGAACGAACCATGAGTATTCCAAGTGAAGCCCAACCCCGAAGTCGAATATAAGACAACCTCTACACCGCCGGTGACCCCCCCCCTCTGCAGCCACAGACGAGACAGGTTGGCTTATTGGCCCCTCCGCTTGGATGGAGCCGATCCAGCGATTTATGCCAAACCTCCAGCGCCCTGGTGTACTAGTGGCCTGAGTAGCATAGGTTCTTGGGAACAGTTGAGCATACTGCACGTTAATAAAGGGACTGTGCCTGGATAGAGCTATATGCCGCGCCTATTGCAGGCTAGTATCTAGTATGTATTCAGCCTTATATGGGTAGTTCTCCAAATTAGGGTCCCTGTCTATGTAGGTCCCCAAAACAGAACACTGATAAAAATGGACTCTATCAGGGACCCTAGTTTAGAGAACGCCATTGCCAGTTTCTGTTTGGCTTCGTTTGTTGGAGTTCAGGCTTTTTTGCTTCGGGGCTTTGAGTTGGACGTCGAGGGATTTGCGGCTTTCGGTTCAAAAGAGCATAATATAGAGGCCGGGGTAATTAGCACCAGTGTGCCTCTATAGTTGTCATGCACCAAATCCCTGGGCTCAACACCAAAACCCGGTTCTAATTGAAAAGAGACCTACCCCTTTCCCCTTCGCCCGATGGTCTTTCTCAAAGCCAACTTTGGATCATGTGAGGGTTGGGCGCTTGGCCAGTTTCACAGCAATGTGCAGCTTAAGGTCTAGGGGTTTAGGGGTTTAGGGTTCAGGGTTTAGGGGGGTTTCTGGCTAATATAAGCCCTTCTGAAATATCCCCTAAACCCTAAACCCTAAACCCTAAGCCCTAATAAGCGGTGAAGCGGAAACAGCCCGGAACCAGGGCTTTGGGCAGCGTTCCGTGTCATCCTTCAAGCGATCAGCGTCGCCCCAGAGTGGGTGGTGATAGTGGAATGATGTTGGGCTTACGGCGAGAGCATTGGGGTTGAGGATTTAGAGTTTCGCTTCCGGAATCGCGGGTTCGCAGCAGTTTGGCTCCGGGGTCAAAGTCCTGGGGGTTTAGATGACGAGGAGCAGGTGATTGCAGGAAGGAGCTTATGAAGCAGATGTTTATTGACGATACTTGTTTGAGCTTTTGAGGCTTCGGGGGATCGGGTTGAGAACTGCGGAGTCTTGGAGGCCAAGAGATTGCAGCACTCCGCAAAGAGGATGCTTTAGGAGGGTTCCTAACCTGAGGAGCAGAAAATATTGAAATCTAATTCCAGTCTAAGCCCCACGCCCCAACCTCGAATTTCTGCGCCCTCACGTTGTGAACCTCCCTAAACCCTACACCCTACACCTTCTTTGCCCGAAACCTTAGGTTCTGTGCGCCAACGCTGACACAGCGGGCCCTGTGCCGGGTTCTGCGGCAAGCTGCCGAGGTTGCCAGCAGGGGTGGAGATGTGTCTGTCGTTGCGGAATCTCAGGATTCGGTCTTGCATGTTTGGGGCTTTAGGGTTTAGGGTTGAGGGTTTAGGGTTTAGGGCGTAAGGTCATGTCAGTCATGGTCGAGTTCCAGCCGAGTTCCCTGCATAGGCGGGTGGGAGAAACACTCCCAGCAACCAAGAATAACACACCCTAAACCCTAAACCCTAAACCCTAAACCCTAAACCCTAACTAAACCAGGGTTCTGGGGTTGTGGGGGTTCAAGGTTCAGGTGTTTGTATGATTGCAGGTCGGGGTCTGGCTAGACTTGAGTCCTGTTGGGCGCGAAAGAATTTAGCGGCATATCTGATGAGGTTGAAAGAAGCCACCGCGCAAAACCGCGAGAGAAGGCAATGCACTTGCGCACGTGAGCCCTGAACCGCCATAGCTTCGTCAGTTCTTATCAGGTTTAGTCTCGAGCTGGAGCATGCCATAGTTAAAAATTACACTGTACCCTGATTTCTCGGACTCCGGGCTTTCCAAATGGATCCTCCTGTACTGAAGATGAAAAAGCCTCCCTCCGCCAGCCCTACAGCGGTGTGGGATCCTACTACGAGTGGTTGCGGCAGGAGCAGATTGGTCAGATCAGGTTCCAAAGGGTGCGAACCCCAATCTCTACACTCTAGATGCTAGATTGCTTCAACTTCGCTGGACTGGGGTTGGCAGATGTGTCACTGTTCGAGGCGGCGCGACGGGAAAACGCAAGTCGAAACAGACTGTCCATCTGAAAGGCTTGAGAAGCTCACCCGCCCGAAAGGTTAAATCTGCAAGCCGCAGAGGCAGCAAAACCTTCACCCTAAGCCCGCGAACTTAGTTCATAACATCGAATCATTCCAAGCCCCATCTGTAATCCCCAAACCCTTCATCCCAAACACCTACGCAAGCATTTAAACCACAGAAGCACTCAAACCGCAAAACCCGACAACCCTCGCTAAAGCCTTTTTGCCTTTGGGATTCTTGCTAACCTTGTAGCTGCTTGTTCAGGACGCGCCGGGAGGCGGATACACCCAAGATAGACCCTGAACGCCAAACCCTATAAACCTGCTTGGGAGCACCCTGGGTTCATCACACTTCATAAAACGCCCCCAAAACCCTAGTATGTTCTTCGCTGGGTGTACGTTTCTTTCAGGGGTTTTGTGGCAGTGTTTTAAATTTAAAATATGTTAAGGGGATGGAGGGTCTATTCAGTCGGTGAGGTCGCCGCAGGTTCAGGCCGGGCCTAAAGCAGCAGCACGCAGAAGGCACCCGAATCCTGCATCTTAGTTAAACTAGAAGCCTTCAGCCCTAGAATCCTAGTCAGAACCTCAATCGCAAGCGCTAAGCCGCACACCAGAAGCTCTCAACCCAACCCTGAACCAGTTGGTTCCGAGCGACTCTGACCGTTCCTCATGCCACGAGGACTATGCAAGGCGACGTGCTTCCATGGTGGAGGCGCTGGAGGCTGACGGACTCGTGGCTGAGACGCCCACCATGTAAACTTCACACCCCTAACCCCCAAAACTTAAAAGCGTAAGCATTCTTGAACCCTAGATTCTCGATACCGAAGCCCATGTTTGCTTCACCCTTAGCGCTTTTTGTAAGCCCTCTAAACCCTGAAACCCCGGAGGGTCGGAAGCCTTTTTTATCCCCCGCCTGTTGCTCAGTCTGCTGGCATCACCACGGCAAGGCGCGGGGCTGAGGCTGAGGGTTACAACTTGGGGCTTCCAGGAGACTTGGAGTTTCGAGCTGAAGGGGGTTTTCTAGGTTTAGGTTTAGGGGGCCCCTCGGCTCCTGGCCTCTGCATAGCCCAGGTGTAAAGGGCTTACTGCGAGGGGATAAGGAACAGGGAAAAGGGAGGTCTGAGCATTCGGTCATATGCTTTCATAATTAGACAAAAGCATACGCGAAGCAGCTACTGTAATTTCTAAGAGCCCTATATAATATTATTCGACAGGCAGCAGCAGCACTTGACTTGATTGGTCCGTGCACTAGGGTCATGCTTTCGAGCACTGTCAAGCAGGAACTCGTCTGAACCTATTTCTACTCCTACTCCTGTTACTCCGCCTACTGCTGCTGCTGCTGCTGTAGCTGCTGCTGCTACGACTACGACCACGACGACGACGACTACTACTAGTACTTCTTCTGCTGCGACCACGATTGGGACGACGACGACAATGAGGACGACTACGACGACGACCACGTACCACGCACGACTGCGACCATGGCTGTTGCTCCAACGACTTCTATTAGTACTACTACCGCCACCACCTACTGCAACTACTGTTTCCAGCGGCAGCTGCAGTATCACGTTTTTCATCAACACGGTCGTCTTCATGATGCACTTTGTAGTAGCATTTATGCTTGCTGTTGTTGTGGTTCTGCTCCATGCTGATGATGGTGCCCATGGGGCGGCTATTGCTGGTGGCAGAGCTGCTGTCGGTGGCGGTTGCTGGGTGCTAGTTGGTGGTGTCGATTGTGACGGTAGTGATGGCAGCTGCATAGAGGGCATAAGGCCCCACAGCCCTGAAGTGAAGCGCATGCTTGTCATTTCGGATCAAGCCATATATGGCCCATTTCGAGCAACCGCTGGTGCTGCTGGAGGGCAGGCACCAGCCACTCGAAGTGGGACGCGGAGCATGGGTTGCTCTCAGTCCTCCGATGAGGTCCGGAAGCATAGTGGCACGACGGAGTGTAGGAGCCGTCAGAACTTTGTAGCAGTGTTGCACTGTTTGGGTGTGCCCTGCGACGATGACTGAGCCCCCTTCGCAGGCCGTCGCGAGAGCGCAGCATCCTTCGCAGCATTCCTTCTTCGTCAAGGAGCCTGGGGTAAAGAGTGCGCTACGAGTACGAGACAAGGTTCTGATGGAGTGCACCTCGGACTCCGAATTTGGGAGGTCCAGGCCCTAGAGCCCTAGAGCCCTAGAGATGATCATGAATAGCAAGGGGGGTGCTACAGTTTTCAGGTGAAGAGCCGTCAGCTATGGCAGATTATGATTCTTGGAAGCATGACGTGGACGAGTATGACGTCAAAGCGCTGGACGACGGCAAAAGCCTGCCAGTGAATCGCACGGCTGACCAACACATTGCGATGCAGACTCGGAATGCCTTGCAGTATTTGACGGAAGACCCTGCCATGCTGAAACGCCTTGTGACGAAGCACCGGATGGCAAACGACAACATCTCTGCATGTGCTAGCCACAGCAAGACGAATCTTGGCGATTCAGCGGAAATCTTCCCATCTAGGAGCTGAGTTAGTGAAGTAGCTTTGTCACATTCGCCCGTGATCGCAGTGACCGTGGCTATTCGGTGCTTCCAGCTTCAAGTTAACGGTGCTTATCAGTACTTAGTGATGTACTTTGATGCCTGCTTACGATCCTGAACGGGGCAGGCACGAGACACAAGCCCTCTACTTTGTAACGCTGAGGTGTTGGCCAAAATCTTTGCAGGCTCAAGCAACCTTCGAGCTGGCTCTTGAAGAGTAGCCCCGCGCTTTAGGGGTTCAGTGGGTACAGGGCCCAGAGTAGAAAATGTTTTCCGACGTAAATCGAAAAGGTCGGATCGGCGGAAAAAAACCCCATGTGAAACAGGGCCAAAAGTATTCGTCCTTTGCACCGGATCCACATCTGTCGCAGAGAGTGCACACTGAAGTGTTGGACTCCAGAAAGTGGTATTTCGCAAGCTTTCCTAGCTTCAGACGAGATCCGCAACCAGGAACACAGAACCAAGCCGAGAATCCAAGGAGTTCCGGGGCAGAAGCCCGTGACGCGGCTCCATCCGGTGCCGTGAAAGGGAAGAGCACCATCATCTCGACCTAGCCGGCCTAGCCGTTGCCCCCACCAGCCCTAAACCCTAAACCCTAAACTTACACCCTAAACCCTAAACCCTAAACTTACACCCTAAACCCTAAACCCCAAACCCAAAAAAGCCCAACTGAACCCTAGCCCGCAACTCTCCGACCAAGTTTGCGCTATTAGAGGTCGAAAGCCTCGGGCTCCAGAGGAGCCAGAAGCTGGACAGCTCGACCGTTTAAAAAAGGGGCCTTTAAGACTTAGAGTAGCTTTACTGTAGGGTTCCACAGTAAAAAACGAAGGAGGGTGTAAAAGTATTTACGGCCCCTTTTGTTTACGAGGCTGTTGGTTGAACTTTAGATATCTACCACGCGGCACAAGCTTTTCCAAGCCCAATTCTTGGATGCTGCCGTGCTGTGAGTGATGGACCAGCAGTGGATGGGATTTGAGATGAGCATGTGTGTGGAGATCTTGTTAAGATGTGTGTCAGGAAGCACAAGTGTGCCATCTGGTCCATGACATTTGTCGTAGCACCTGATGCCCATTTCTGGCATATGCTGAGACCGGGGTTTCAGCAAACAGGGGACTCTAGTGTAGAACGCAAACTACCAAGACACACCTCTGAATAGGTGTCTGAAACCCCCCAGAGTATGATGACGTGGAGCTGCCTCTTTTTTGACCATCGGTGCCTCGCAAGAACGGCACCTGCGGCTCTATAGTCTGAGACTGACCTTACACCGCTCTACGGTGTAGCTTCAACTCCAAACCTGAGCACCCTGAAGCCTTAGAGCCCCCAAACCTCGAAAGCTCAAGCCCAAAATCCCTAAAGCCCCGCACCCCGGAAGCCCCAAACCCCAGAATGAATAGTTTCTTAACAGGAAAGGCTGCCTCTCTGAGAGGGAGCACGGCAGCAGATTTTGAACCCTGCAGGCAGAGTGCGAAATTGAGCGCCAGAGCTTTCCAGGCTTAAGCGAAGACCCAGACACCCCAAGTCGTGAGTAGTGGTTTAGGGTTCAGGATTTAGGGTTCAGTGTTTAGGGTTTAGTGCGATGTGCTGCGAGGGGTCTGGCCGGGCGAGCTCAGTTCAAGCCTGTGGAAAAGGGTTTAGGGTTTTGGGTGGTAAGCAGGTATAAGTGGCAGTGAGTTGTAATTGTAGTAAGTACGAGTGGTGGTAAGAAGTAGGAGGAGGAGAAGTGTAAGACTAGCGACAAGTGGTGCTAGCACTAGCCGCAGTAGCAGCAGCCGGGCAGTAGTTTACTACCAGTAGCGGCAGAAGTATCAATAATAGCATTGGTAGGGAGAGTGCAGGTCACAATCAAGGTTTCGTAGCGGCAGGACTTTTGAAGTAATTGCGCTCCATCTCAAGGCCTCATCCTATGCGCCAAGCCCTGAATCCCTTAGCCGGATCGCCTGCACATGGACAGAAAGCATTCCGCCTGTCATGAACCCTAAACCCCAATGTAGACCGTTGGAAGTTGAACCTCCCTACCCTTTCCCACAAGAGGATCTTAGTCGAGACTTATCTCGTATCATTACAGTATGGCCCCATACAAAAGATGGAGTTTGGAAAATTCAGGCTTCTACGTAGATGCAACCTCGAACTCTGTCTCCTGAGGTCACAAGGCGGATTCTTCCTCCTGGGGGACATCAGCGATCTCTGTGGCCTAGAGCTCAGCAGGGATGCCACTGTCGATAGGTTTGACTTCTAAACGTTTGGGAATTGGGCTAAAACCCTAAAGCGGGTTTGATCCGGGCTAGGCTCCCGTTTGCAACCACCTCCAACTCGACTTTTTGGTTCGAGTTTAGGGTTTCGGGTGTCGATCGCCCTCCTCACAGAAATCATGTGGTGTCAGTATTGGGCTCTACAGTTACGGGTCTAGGGTTCAAGGTTTGGGTTGGGTGTCATCGAGAGTTTGGCGTTTCGGGTTTTGGGTTGTAATCTATGGGCCTGCACCCAGGCCATGGTCGTGGTAGAGTGGATCAGAAAAAGCGCAGAACTTAAATCCTCATGGAACCCTTCGAGTCAGTCCTGCAGGAACCCGTATACAGCCCATACGAAAGCCTCATTCCTCGGATGCTGCCACGGGCGCCAAAAAAGGAAGCTATTATTACTCCGGAACCTCAAGCCTCGCAAGGCCTTCAGAAGCAAAGCATCGATTTTGGCAAAGCTGGGGTCTTCAGCTCGCAGTTTCCGACAAACCCACAAACACGAAACCTCCGCCAAGCCCAAACACTTGAAAGCCTTGAGAGCGCCAAGCCCGAAGAATTGCACACCTGAACCCTCATACGCCAAACCCTAAACTCTAAACTCGTAGCCATTTTGGCTCAAGCCATTTTGGCTCAAGGGCGGCCGTACCCCGGCGTGTAGATGCCCGCACCAGAAAGCAGGTACCGGAGAGATACCTCCTCCCATTGGATATGTGGAAGGGCGATCGGAGTTCATAGCTCCTGCCTCTCCTAGTATGGTTGCAGCTAGTAGAGACGCTCTTGCGGCGGCTTTGGGGTGGGTGCCTCCAGGTTTGAAGGATGAGGTTGAGGTTGTGGGTGTGAACTCTTCGGAGATAGCTGCCGAAGCGCGTGCAAAACCCGACGCTTGGAACACATAAAGATTCCCCGGTTCGACAACGACTCGCTACCGTGAGTCAAGACGTGATGCCTGAATATGATCTTACTGATGGGATGACGAAGATGACGAGGATAAGCGTAAGGGGTCCCCCGATTTCGGAAGAACGAGGGTCAGGCAGCGCCGGGACTTCGGGAGGCCTTCCACGGAAGATGAACAATTGGAAACCGTGGAAACTGAAGAACCCCCTCGAGGTATCCGCCGGTACGTTAGCACCCAAACTCACTGGACAAGTCCTCCCTAATTATGGCTCGGACTGCTATAGTCTGCCCGAACCTACCTCCCGCCTGGAAACCGAGACATCCTTTCCCTAGTGGTCGCTTGTGCGGTCTGAGTATGGAGTGTACGATTGGAGAGGCCCACCTCCCAGCATCACGGGACAGATTGCGTGCCCAGATCCTCGCAGCGTACGATAAGGCCCCCAATAAATACAGACAAGCTGAAGGGGAAGGGTGGGTTCTCACCTTAGGCCCCAACCCTAGAAACCTCAGGAAGCTTAGTACTGCTACAGCCCCCCTCCAACACCTTTGTGCTCAGATCACATCGTATCTTGCTATTGTTGCTCCCCATCGCAAGTTTCCAAGAGTCATTACTAGAGACTCAGCAGGTCGAGCACTTCATGATTCATACGGATTTAAGAAATTCACATTATCCACTGGCTACCATTAGTCTTTCAGATTTTGTTGGGGGTGAACTTTGGATTGAGTCGCCCCAGGGAGATGTTTGTAAGGAATACTGAGGCTCCCACGTCAAGAGTTTTCGTTGCAGCCCTTCACCATTTCAGCCCGTCCTCTTCGGTGGTAAAACATTGTTGCACTGCACTGAGGCTTGGCATCACAGGCGGGTAGTCTTAGTTGCATTTACAGTGATGTGCTCAGCCTCAGCCCCAGCCTGTGTTGGGGATTGTCTTGAAGCAGTGGGGTTCCGCATACCCGCTAGTTGCGAAGGCGAGTTTTATGCGGCGCAGCCACGAGGGCCGGGTCAACCGGCACAAGTTCACCTTAACTTTCACACCAAGAAGACTAATTAGTGGGGTTTGGGCAATCGGAACACTGAAGCATGGCAAACCACTTGTGGTGACAGTCTCCGGAAGTGAAGATGAGCCCCCTCAAGAGACACTGCCAATCACTGTACTAGGCTCTTCCTATTTTGAAGAAGCCGAAACAAACCACTGCTCCATCGCCAGTGCTGATGCTCTGGAAGCTCCTGGCTGACTGCTTGGACTACAACGCATGTGGCCTGGGTACACCAATGCTATGCCTTCTGAGTTTACTGCATGTCATGTCAGTCTGGAATAGGTGAAGTCAAGATGGGAGATGCTCTGGACGATGATAATACGTACCCTGCTCGATTGAGGGTAGAGTCTGTGATTGAGACGCAGCCCCTCGCACAGATCCCTGGCTATGAAATTCTGAGTGCACGCGATGCCATGCATGAAACGGATGTCTGATGTCTGGGCCAGCCTTGATGTGGGGCACATGGAAACGTGGACAGCCGTACTCCCCCATAGTGATGAGCTGTGGCTGGATATATGGAAAGCTGCAAACAGAGGCCTGGAGAAAATGCAAATGCTTAAGGCATGTACGCATCGCGGTTCGTAATTCAGCCAAGTTCGCTGAATATGGAGGTGCAACACACTGGCGGCAAACAACAAATAGGGAACTGGAGCTGGAAGGATATTCCTCGCCAAAATGCATAAAGCGAATCGTTCTTCTGGCCCGACCATGGCAAGCTTTACAAGCTGGCGATGTGCGTTTTTTCACGCGGGTGTCCTTACCCTACTGGACAGTATGGCGGCTCTGGAGTCAAGCTGGTAGACCTCTGATCGGCGGTGAGAGGGCAGTCTACTCATAATTCTCTGCAAGTAGAAGACGGCATGCTTGATTTGCAATTCGGAGCTAGGTATCGGTCAGTGACTCCAAGTGTTTTTAAGCTAGATGGTCTCGGCTGATCTGGTATGGAGTGCCTGGTTGCTTCGAAAGGATGGTTAAATTGAAAGATGACGGTTTCACTTTGGGAATCGTGAAGATTCCTTGAGATGGAGACCGTGTATGGGGCACTTCCCTGACCGCGACGAATGTGTAGGGGCCTGTAGTGCACCTGAATCTAACTAAAGGTCTCCCCTGCGGTAGTCGTCGAAGTCCAGGAGCTAGGTAATCATGTACCCAAACTTAGTGTTAGATGTATGGGCTCGTGTTGTTTCAATGATTTTGAACTCGCTGTTGGTTTCACTTCTCAGCGGACCTCGAACCACATGCCTCGCCTGGATTGCCCGAGTGTGAGCGCCGAAGCCTAAACTTTAAACTTCAAACCTGAAACGCTTAAGCCATCAAACGTGCAGGCCCAAAAACCTCAACCCTAAATGAAACCTTAAGCCCGAAAGCCTAACCCCTGAACCCAAACCTTGGGGTTGGGGCCTTGGAAATGATTTTTTCATTTTTGGCTGCTATAAAAACCCTAAGAAACAACTAGAATATCAATTTTTGCAAGGGTACCAGGCCAGTATAGAAACCCTAGGCAAAAAACAACTAAGGCTTAAACCCTAAACCCTATGTGGAGCCTTGCCTGCTGCGTGCGAGTGTGAGAGTCGAAACCCTAAACCAGAGAGCTCAGACCCTCTAACGCCATGCCAGCCGAGTGCGACTGTGTGAGTCGAAACCCTCTGGTCTGCATGCGGATATGTAAGTGATTCATGTTTTTACGTGAGAGGGAATGTGTGTGCACGCGAACGAACTCTGCATGAGAATGGTTGGGCTACTGACAATGACAGCTGCCGGGATACCATGAAGGGAGCGAGCTTGTCTGCCCGTAGACATACTGTGGCTGCACGTCCGCAAAGGGCGCGACATGGGCTGCATGTGGGTGCGTCTGGTGGTGACGTGTTGGATGTGCTTTGTGGGACTTTGTCTGTGGAGCGCGCTGCCTCAGCCAAAGGCTCCTACGTTGACCTACTTGTGTTGACGAGTGGCTCACAAGTTGGGTGAAGCCCATAGCCGCATGCTGGTGCATGATGTCATAGGCAGAACAGGGAAATGCTTCCCGTGTGAGGGTGGGGTGTGTGAAAGTTGAGGTTGAGATTTTTGTGTATGCGCGCGCTGCTGCGGTGATGTGGATTTTGATGTCAAGTGAATCTGCTTGTCGTCCTGGCAAATGTGCCGTAGCCCCATGTGCTTCGACGAAGCAGCTAACCTCGCCAGGCCCTGAGGGACCGCTCCACGAGAGCTGGGAGGCATCCTTAAGGCGCGAACTTTCGGGGTTTAGGGTCTGGGGGTTTATGGTTTTTGGTCCAGGGTTTAGGGTTGTTGGTCTTCGGTTTAGGGTTTTGGGTTCAGCGTTTAGTGTTTAGGGCTTCAGGTTTTGGGTTTCGGGTCTGGGGTTTTGAGGCTTCTTTTGGCATCCGGGCCACCGACATTCGAACACGCAGAAGGCGAAACCAAGAAGCCGCAAAGACCCACGTAATCCCTTAAATCCAGAACCTAAACCCCCAAAGTCCCCTTAAATAACCTCCTAAGCTTCCAATTCCTGAAGCCCCTTCAACGCCGCGAGAGACGGAAGGCCCGATGAAGCGGAAGATTGGACCTGCTGCCGGGCGCTGGCTGCGGAAGTGGCTTCTTCCGACTGTTTACTTCTGGTTCAGTTTTGTTTGGGGTGGGATCTCGTATTCTGGTTTAACCCCAAACCCTAAAGCCTAAACTAGGGTCTATCGAACTGAATTTGCCGGTCATGCCTTTGTCTTGGCGGCGGATGTTGGTGAGCAGCCAGACGTAAGACCCAGGAGTTTACGATTTAGGGCTTAGGGTTTCGAAACTCCAAGGCCCAAGCTCCCTCTTGAAACCCGAAGACTCGTTACATTCTGCGCCAGCCAGGGCATTGTATGTCTTCCTGTCAGCCCATTTTTTGGCATCTTGGCTGCGCCCAGAGATCTTGCAGGTAACATCTGAAGCCTCCCTAAACCCTAAACCCTCGCTTCTGGGCTTTGATCCTTAGCTATGCGAGAGGGAAAAAACCCTTTTGCCTGGGTTCCAGATGTCAGGCTTTGAACCCTCAGCCCTGGGCTTCGACCTCCCTTAGCGGGGCTTTACCGGGTTGATTGTTGTGATTGGGGTTGCAGTGTCTTTGGTAGTTTCACCTCAGCAGAGCTGCGAACTACGTAGGGCCTTAGGGGTTTGGGCTTTCGTGTTCAAGGGTCTCGGATAGGGGACTTTAGCTCCTCCCAGCCTGGCCAGTGTAGGGATTTGAGACGGGATTTCGCTGTGGCGCCTGGGGCGCGTATGTATGTATGTATGTATGTATGTATGTATGTATGTATATATATATATATTATACATATATACAGACATGCCCGTGTGTAAAAAGGGTTGAGGGTCGAGGGTTTAGGGTTCAAGGTTCGGGTCTACCGGCATACACTGCAAGTCCGTGCTTAAAAAAAGGTTTCGGGTCTAGAAAGGCTTTCTAGGCTCTTGTTGGAAGGACCTAGACTCAAGGAGGCGCTGTGAGTTGGAAGATGGGGCTTTAGGGTTTTGGGGCTTTGGGGTTTAGGGGTTTTAGGGTTTAGGGGCTTTAGGGGTTTAGGGTTTAGGGGTCTAGGGGTTTAGGGTGCAGGGGCACGCTCTCGATTCGAAGTTGAAGCCTGCCTCCAGGACTTTCTGCTTCCATGGGGCCGATTGTTTGATATGTCTTCTACGATGCCAAACCCTAAGCCGCCCTAAGCCCGAAACCATAGTCGCAAGTTGTCGCAGAAAAAGGTCGACAACAAAAACCCTTAGACGCAACTCTTATGCAACCCATGAGCCAGAACCCTAAACCCTGTCATTGTTCATGCCGACTGCCCTCGATGAACCTCGCCTGGATTGTCGTTGCGAGAGTGTAAACCCCAAACCCTAAGCCCTAAAGCAGTCGCCTCGAGGCGAGCAAACGCCAGAGAGCATCCGAACGCGCTTCGCGCGCTTCTGCTTTGTCGGGGTCCCGGCATCGGTGGCTGGCTCCATACCGCCACGCAGGGAATAGCACACCTCATAATTTTGCATGATGTTATGCGGTATGTATATTATGTTCTTTGTTTTGACAGTGTGTTTTACTACACCTTGCCATACCAAGATCTACGTAGTGGTGTTACATTGTGATACATTTTGTCTATCGGGTCGTGTTTTGTGATGCGTCGTTTCCCCTTATACGTTCCATGCTGTTTTAACCGGCTATATCATATTGCCTTATACTGCATTGCATTAGGCCACTTTCTGTTCCATTACGTTTCTATATATGTTCTGCGGCTGATGCTGCTGCAGACTTCGTTTGGTAGGGTGCTTGTTGTCGTGCTTGTGTTGGCGACCGCCGGGGTGTTTCCCGTTACTGTGATGGTTGCAGTCGTAATGGGTGTGGTGGCAGCCTTTGCCGCAAAATTGGCGGTTGGACTTGTCACTGCCTTTTATGTCGGCGTTGAACTTGTCGATGAACCATGGTGAACCTGCGTTGCAGAGTCGTGCGAGTATCCGGCCCTCTTGGCTTGACATCAGCATTACACCTACCCGTAATCTCGAAAACCCTAAGCAAGCAGTCCAAGCACGCAAGTGCCAGAGTAGAAGGGGAGAGGGCCTATCGGCCCAGGTGAGACTTTTCGGATTCTTTGTTCCGTCCAGCACCACTCTGGGTCCAGGGTGCAGGCTGCGGTTGTACGCTCAAGCATGGAACAACGAAAATTGCATGGTGCTCGCAAAGTAGTTGGTTCCGTGGCCCTGAAACCTCTCAGCACCTTCCGAAATTCGTACAGATTGAGGCCCGAAGCCCGACTTGTGACATGCATGAGCTTGAGACCTCATGTCAGTCTGCATTGTGAAAGATTAAGCCTTAAACCCTAATCCGATTGAGAGATATGCCAAGGCAAAGACGGACGCTACACTTGAGGAGGCGAGTCGAAAAGCATGGACCTTGCAAGTAGGACCCTTGGAAAACGACTGAAACCACAGGGTGGTAAAAGCAGGGTCCTTGACAAATGCTCGACGCTATACGGCAGCTTAAACGTGAGTAATACGGGACCTTAGACATAGGATCCATAAGCCTGAAGCAGGTGGGTGCCTTTATCCTTCAATGCCCGAGGAGCCTCAGCCGAGAAAGAGTCACCTTGCAAGCCCTTCTAAGCCGCTTTAGGGTTTGTGGTCCAAACCCTAAACCCTAAAAAGCCCAAAACCCTAAACCCTGAACCCAAAGCCCTAAACCTTTGAGCCCTAAAGCAATTAAGGGTTTAGGGTTTCTCCCTTCTCATCCAAGACTCCCTCCCCTGGTCCCTGCGAGGCAGCGAAAAGGCTGCGGAGCCTCCGCGCCTAAGAAGGCTTTGGTGGTTTAGGGTTTAGGATGTTTCGGGGTTTAGGGTTTAGGGTTTTTTTAGTTCCAAGGATTAAAATTTTTAGTTTTAAGGATTCTGGATGTGGGGCCGAGGGCGCACAGGACCTCACAACATGTCTTCTCTCCTCAGCTTAAAGGTTCGCCAAAAATCACTCCATGCGGTGAAAGACTTGGGTGTGGGGATGAAATTCTATGGCTGGTTTCTTTTTATTTGGTGTGTGTCTGCTGTTATGCTTAGATTGCTTAGCCTCGCAGAGCCCTCCAGGCCCAAAGACTTGAACTCCGAAAGTCCGAAGCCCCAAACCCAAAGGTCCTAAACCCTCACTCCGTCCTGCACCTCGACCCCCGAGCCGAGACTCAGACTCGCTGGGTGTAGAGCCTTGGCTGACTGAAGATGGCGTGTAAGCAAGATGCACGGAGGAAGGAACGAAGGAACGAAACGTGGGACAGGAACAACAAGTGTCTTGAACTGCGCATTGGCCCTACTGCCGCTCTACCACTGCACCTCCATCTCCGCCTCGGCGACGACGACGACGAGCACGAGAACGAGCGGAGGAGCAGGACGAGGAGCAGGAGGAGCAGGAGGAGGAGGAGGAGGAGGAGGACGAAGACGGCAATGACAGAACCGGCTGCCAGCTAGCTGCGAGAGGCAATGAGAGATGGTTGTCCGAACAGTTCAAACCAAGTTCGTAGTAAACGGCAATTCAGTCCATGGCGCAGTCAATAGCAATATCAGACATCAGGTTCAGGGCATTGCAGGGCTTGGGGGGTTCGAAGGTCTCAGACCTCAGAGGTGTTCCGTCCAAATCCGGCAAAACCACACTCTGCTACACTGAAAAATTTTTGCTTGCCCTTGCGCTTATAGCCTTACGCCCTGAAAAGCCCCCCACCTTGAGACCACCTCGAGGCTCGGCATAAGTTGCAGTACAATAGGACTGCTCTTAAACTTGCGATGGTAATCCCCTGAACCCGGAGCCCAGCTTCACTTCAGGGCTGCTCCTCACTCTTCGCGGCATCCAGAAGGGCGGGCTGCGGAAAAAAAGGGGGTGCATTCGTTCGCATTGCCGTTCCGAACGTTCCGAGGCGTTTGGATTTATGGGACTTGCATGGGTGTTGCCGTTTCAGGGTTTCAGGGCCTTGGTGATGATTTGGGTTTGGGGTAGATATCGCGGGCCTTCAAGGTGCATGGTGCAGTCGGGGTGCCAAGGCCGAGGTTCCGCGCCCCAGAACATGAGCTTTTCTGAAGCATTGTGGGGGTTTTGTAGGGTTGGAGAGAGCTTTCAACCAGGGTTTCGGATCTTCAGATGAAGAACCCACCCGGTCAATTGAAGGAGGGGTTCATTGGCCAGGAGCCTGCAGGAATGCAACTTCTTGGTTGGCTGAAACCCAAAGTGCGAAGCGATCATCGGGATTCTGCGCAGCGAACGTCATGAGGAGACCGCGCCACCGAGCAGAGAGCTTCCCTAGGTCACCTCGCTCTTCGCCTCACAGAGCAGAGAGAGCTTGCCACGAGCTCAAGGCTGCTTTGCACTCTTGGGGCGCGAGCGCGTTGCGAAGCATGGGCTGGAAGGCTGGTGGCACAAAGAGAGCGGATGCAGCGCAGTGTTCCACCAAGGACACCCTCCGCCAGATGGAATCCTCAGCCCCAAACCCAAAAGCCAATAGTCCGAACCCCCGTCTTGCCTAGCACTCAAGGTTCTAAAGTTGGGCTTCTAGAGCTGGGCTGACAAGGCCATGCAATTTGGTTGAGGAGGTCGGCTTCGTCTTGGGGTTTAGAGTTTAGGCTTGAGGGTGCATGAGGGTTTTGAGTTTCGGGTTTCGAATCCAGGGTCTAGGCTTTAGGGGGTTGGGGAGTTTTTGTGTTTTCAGGCTTCCTTCGAAAAAAGCTCCGGAAGCCCCAACGTCCTCAGCATGCCGTCTGGGCTCCTTCAGCAAAGTCGAGGGCCCCTATGGAAGGATCTGGGTTTGTATTGGGAGTCCTTCCGTTTGGACCGGGTCTCGGAAGAGGTAGCATGAATGGCATCATAGAGTCAGGAACGGTTTGACAGACGAGATGCCAGCACGGAGAAGCGGGTTCAAGTTCGACGAAGGCCCGAGGCTCTGACGTAAAAAACGTGCAGATGCAAAACCCAACAACTTACAACTCAGGAGCTTTACGAACTTCAGAAGCTTCAGTGCTGCCCCTTGCTCCTATGCCCTGTGTCAAGTCTTGAAGATCAAAGATCAAATTCCTAAACTTGTGAAACGGCCCCTGCGCGCTTTTAT